GGGGGGGGGGGGGGGTCACATCACATCACAGTAGCATATTGATGTGAAAAGACCACCAAGAACACTTAAGACAGTAACAACTCAGCGGATTATCGTCTTTTAATAACACTGATACTTTAAAAAGACACCCTAGGGAACGCTTGAATACTTGACTGAGTTCACTGGCACTTGATTTCTTAAAGATTCATGGTCTCAGTTACAACTTCCCCGGGGCTTTTGAAATGCGTGTGTCCTTGGTGTTCTTTTTCTTAAAAATGCAAACAATCTAAGACATAAAAACAATGTTGTCTAAAATAAAATAAAAATGTATAAAGCTAATACCAGAGACATTCAGTTTGTTCTCTCAAAGTAAAAACAAAACTTCAATAATTGCATAAATAAAGCATGTTTAAATCCGTACGCGACTTGTTAGCAGTGTCCTGTACAGGAGCTGGATGCTGTGATTATGTACGGGTCTACATATATAATGTCGGTTACATCGTAGAGTTGCAGTATTGAGGTAACTTCATAGTAGCAAAGGCGAGGAGGAGACATGCATTGGACAAAAGTGAAAATGTAGATAGAGGTGTTAGTGTGTATGTCCCTTTTTGTTCATATTCAAGTTTTACAAAAAAGAAATAAAGCATTGATAATACTGGATGTTTTTAAATGATATTAAATGCACCACCTGAACAGTCTGTGTACCTCCATCTTCTTCTTCTTGGATTCAGGTGGTGCAGGGATGGGATGGGGGGGTTTTAGGGCAGCAGGTGTTGCAGCGCTGCATCGTCCAGGTCGTTGACGGCGACGATGTGATGCAGGTGTTGCAGGTAACGTTCCTGGTCTCGCATGAAGTGCGGGATTCTGGTCCGTGGGAGGACCGCCAAAGGACGCAACATCTCCACGTCTTCGAAAGACACCTGAAGAGAGTGAAGAAGAGATTATCAGTGGAGGGAATCACCTATTGGACATTCATTCATTTCCACATTTTAAAATGAAATAGTACTGTAGCTCATTTTAATCAAAACAGAGTCATTTACTCAAGATAGCACCAAGAAAGATGTGAAATCTATGCAGAAGTGAGTATTTGTAGGGACGACTTTCTAAATATGCTGTATTACAATAAAACAGACGTCTAGAATGTGTTTAGTATTATTCAAGACATCAAACTAAATAATACATCACATAAACCTTTTCTCTCCTATAATTGAAATACATTTAAAATATACACATAAATTAAAATATTTCCCTCCTAAAGGGTTTAATTAACATATTTTACATCACTTCTTATGAGACGCTTTACCTAGAAAGCCCTGCAGAGGGCAGACACTGCACAATATCTACTTCGTTGTAAAAATGTCTCATCTGCATGTTAAGGTTGGACTTCTTATTTTGTTATATTTCTCTATCTTTATATCTCTATCAGTCTCTCTATGATTGATTATTCACAGAAATTAAATTATTTTATCTTGTCATATTTTATGTTTTGAATTTTCTTTACTTTTATTGTTGTTTTTACTGTAAAACACTTTGTACTTTGCTTTATCAATACAATTATTACGATTATTATTTAAAGGTACTGACACTGACCTTGCCTAAAGAAGTCAACATCTTGAAGTCGATGGTCCTTCGGTATCGGAGGATTCGGAGAATCCCGTCCAGATAAACCTGGTCTTTACTGAAGCACCCTGAGACAGAAACACACAACATGCAGGAAGTGTAAAAAATGAAAATATTCTCAAGTATAACTGTGTATCACTGATGGAGCAGACATGTACACTTTCAGTTTGCTTTACTCAGCGAAATCTCTCAAAAATTTTCTGCATAGCTGTTAAATATTGTCTCTGGTAGAGACCTGTCAATCACTATGTAGCCCCGCCCTAAAGCATCCCCTGCTTTATGGTCTGTGTGACTCTAAATGGACCATAATGTACTAAATGAACATCATGCTGTATTGAAGAACACTTGAAACTAGAGATTGAGACCATAAACTCATGTTTACAATGTTTACTGAGGGAATAAATCAAGAGAGAAGTAGGAAGTTGGTGGTAAAGTAGTAAATCCCCGCCTCTTGCTTAATTTGATTGATTGCTTGGACTAAGTGTGACATTGACGATCAGTGCAACGCTAAAAAGTAAGGACTATTCCAACTTTAATAAGCGTCTAAAATGCAATTAAAATGCGGCATGCAGGGCTGTACCCTAGGAAAACAATGGTTTTGCAGGCCAAGGTGGATAAAGGCATACAATAGATTAGGTAGAACAGTCTGGAAAGTTACATCACTTTACTGTAATGCAGCCTTTAAAACCAGGAAAAGACGACACTTATAATATCCAAAATCTAGGACGATATAATATCTATATATTGCCCGGCCGTAGCTGCAGCCCCCTGAGGTAATAAATCAAGAGAGAAGTAGAGTCATTTTCTCATAGACTTCTATACAACCAGAGGAGTCGCCCCCTGGTGGACACTAGAGAGAATGCAGCTTTAATAGACACTTCTGCATCGGCTTCAATCGGTAGAACCGGAGGTTACCGCCTGTTAAAATATATTAGTCAGGACTTATTCAGATTCTATTCATCAGAAGACCATTAACTTGGAACGACGCCAAACAACAATAATAAAGTGTTGTTTGTTATTTTGATGAAGGCATCATGAAAGTCTTTGTTGTGGCTGAAAAGTTAAAAGGATTTAATTAGGTGCAGCTGGTACACGCTGCACCTAATTAAATAGCCGCCGAGTAGGTAGATGGCAGTCATATATTCCCATGTGTGTGTGTGTGTGTTCGTGTGTTCACCTTGCTGCGAGGTGTCCGTCTGTCCCCTCTTGGCTCTCAGGCAGTACTCCCAGCGGACGTCCGGGTCCTGGACGAAGCGAGCGATGTGGCCGAAGAGCCGGCTGAAGCTCATGCTGGTGGCGTGGTACACCGTGTAGTACAGCAGGGCGGCGCGCCACAGGTAGGGCTGCTTCCGTAGCAACACGCTGTGCAGGCTGGCCAGGCCCTCCTCCGTGGGATTGGCCGGTTTGAGACCGAACTGCTTCCTGCCCTCGGCGGTGGACCACGGCTGCAGGTTGTTGTTCACCCCTCGAAGGTAATGTGTACCTGAGGAGAAGATTGTTAGAAGATTTTTAACCTCCGGTTCTGCAGAGTGAAGACAATGCGGAAGTGTCTTAAAACTTGCATTGTCTCTACTGACCAGCTGCCTGGTTTGTACATATTTAGTCAGAGCAACGTGAGGCCCAACCTGTTTAAAACTCTCAAAATGAGACATTTTTAGGTGATCAAAAAATGACGTTGTGGCAACCACCTAGCGTCATTAAAGCATCCCCTGCTTTATGGTCTGTTTGACTCTAAATGGACCATAATGTACTAAATGAACATCATGCTGTATTGAAGAAGACTTGAAACTAGAGATTGAGACCATAAACTCATGTTTACAATGTTTACTGAGGTAATAAATCAAGAGAGAAGTAGAGTCATTTTCTCATAGACTTCTATACAACCAGAGGAGTCGCCCCCTGGTGGACACTAGAGAGAATGCAGTTTTAAGCATTGGCTTCACTCTCTAGACCTGGAGGTTGCCGCCTGGTTTGTTCCGTTGGCTACACATTTAAGTGCACATATTTAGTCATAGCAACTGATTTCTATATGAGGCGCAACCTGTTTTAAACTTTAGTTTAAAAATCTGAAAAACCCAAATAGATTCAGATCTGATAAAACGCTGATGAAGCTCAACTCTTCTGCCAATTCAGCTACTGATGTGTTGTTGTGTCGGATGACGACTTAGAACATCTGACACTTTAATGACTTTAATGTTAATCGGTGGGCTTAGCTGCAGCGTACCGATCTCATGTCGCAGCATCCCCTCCAGCCAGTGCTGTCGAGCTCCGGCCAGGTTGATGGTCAGCGTGGGCCGACAGCTCTCCACCACCATCACCGCCTGAGACAGCAGCTCGTCGGACAGACGCACCACCACCTGCAGACATGAACACCGTCACCACTGACCTCCGTCCTCTTGTCCTGCTTGTTGCTCAGCTTGTTCAGCCACAATCAAATGCAAACAGTTTCTACTTTAAGAGAATAAGTGCTGCCAGATGTTGTAAATGAGACTGTTGTTGTGTCGCTCGACAAGATCAGTGTCAGGTTTACTGGACTGTAAAGGAGCTCCACCACGGTCACATGAGTGAGAGTTTACACAACGAGGCTGTGAAGTCAGCGTGATGACGTTCAGTCGTCTCATTTAATCACTTGTTAACAACCGCCTTTTTTAAAGACACGTAAAAGCTTCTAAATTCACCAGAGGGGTTTTAAACTGACGTATTTTATATCAGAGAACTAAAATGTTAAAATGGGATGAGACGTGGAAACAGGAAGTGCAAAAATGCCGTCTCATTTCCTGTTTTAGGACTCATCCCTGCAGCACTCAGGTGTTATCAGGAATCATTTCACAGCTTTGTTGAATACTCAGTTGTGATTGGTCAATTTCGGCATTCTACAATCAGTTATTTCTTTATCGCAAATCATTTTTAAAAATCTAATAAATCATTTTAAAATTAATATTTTGTGTTAAGCACTGAGTAGTGTATTTAGGGCTCACTCTAGCAGCACGCCATAGACAAATAGTTTCGGCTCCTTGTGTACTTCGCTGTATTTGTTGTGTAGGAGCAGCCGTGCATGTTCAAGTCGTGCAACATGGAACAAACTGCGCTGCAGTGAGGTCACTTGGTGGCTTCAGCAGACGCCCGCGGGGTGAAGGGCGGAGAGGGTGGAATGTCAACAGTGAACACAATAAACACATCAATTAATTAATTCTCAAAGATTTCTTTACACAGCCCAGGGGGGTCCTCCTCTGGATCACTGTCATAAAAAACTTATAAAGACCCTGATCATGTGTTGACTTATAGGGCAGTGGGACTATATACAAATCTGAATCATTGTGCAGTGTTTTAAGTCTTAAATTCAAATTCTTTCACTTGTGTGATTCTTACTATAGATCTTTTATATTTTACAACTGCTTCTCTGTATTGTTACGCATGTAAATAAACATAAAACATGTGGTAATCCAACTGTAAACTACTAATTGTGTGTTCAAAATAAAATATAAACCAGCCTGAGCTTTGCTCCCCGCGGTGTATTTCCTCTATGTCGCTATCTTTGAACATGTGACTCAGACCTGAGGTGGAAAAAGCTGAAATAAATAAAAGCCGAGCTGCTAACGACGGCGTGTTGTTACTTCATCGTTGAACCGGAACCATTACAGAGATGCCATGACACATTGTGCCATGGCACACAACAGGAAAATAGCAGGTGTGGATAAAACAATGATTGATGGCTCAATTACTGTTGCTGCTGTACTAACTGATGAGTCACCAACTTAATTTCGTTGTATGTTTTTTACGATGACAAACATCTTTATTACTGCTAAATAGCTGCTTCAGTTCCACGATCCTGGCTTTGTATACTGGCTCAATGCCATGACTCTCTGGGACACTTGAATAGAAAGCTGCCATTGTTTAACGTCATCAGTTACACCTGTGGTTGTGAGAGTCACACTCACCTCTCCCACGCAGCCTTCTTTCTGCAAATATTTGCGCACAGCGGCCCACACTTGACATTTAGGGAGTATGCTGCCGCCCGTCACCTCCTCGAAGTTCTCATAGGAGCCGAACTTCTTCAGGACGCACTCCATGATTCCCACCGCCTGCAGTAAGGACAGAAAAGTCATCATCAGCATTGTTTGAACTCCACAGACTGTAGAGAAGGAGGAGGAGTGACCAGGCGGTAACCACCGGTTCTGCTGAGTGAAGGTACGCCGAACACGGCCCTAGTAGCAGTAGTGATCTGTCAATCACAGGGTAGCCCCGCCCTAAAGCATACTAAATTAATACATTTTCTAAATGAACATCATGCTGTATTGAGGAAGACTTGAAACTAGAGATTGAGACCATAAACTCATGTTTACAATGTTTACTGAGGTAATAAATCAAGAGAGAAGTAGAGTCATTTTCTCATAGACTTCTATACAACCAGAGGAGTCGCCCCCTGGTGGACACTAGAGAGAATGCAGCTTTAACACATGAAGCATCAGCTTCACTCTATAGAAACAGTGTCGTGATCCGTGGAGGTTTGGTACTGTACCTGTTCGAGGAAGAGGCCTGAACCCTCTTGGTACTTCTCCAACACACTCCTGGGCTCCGGCTGTGCGTACTCAAACTGAGGCTCGTACTTGTAGTCGGACTGGAAGAAAGTCTGCTTCTCCTGCTCCAGGTTCAGAGGCCTGAGGGCGACGAGCAGACAGGGCCTGGAAGGCACGGCCGGCTTCCTGCCGACCTCCCTCTTCGCTATGTGCGGCAGGGACGTGGCGGGTCTCATTTGGCCCCTGCCGACCCGGAGCCCCGGGGAGTAGTTGACCGAGCAGGTGCTCTCGCTGCGGCGCATCCAGCCGCCCGCACCCAGGCTGGGGCTGGTCAGGCTGCGAGCTGGAGGCGACGGGGCGGCCGTGCCGCTTCGCCAGGGCGGCTGCACGACCCGCCTGTCCGCCATCTGCTCCTGAGACCATCGCAGGCGCTGGGGCATTATCTCCAGGCTGAGGGGCCGGCGGAGCGGCGGTCTTGGCGTGGCCCCCGATGATGATGAGGGCCTCCTCTGTGCTACCTGGCTGCTGTTCGTCTGGGCCGGAAGTCCATTGTGGGACACCTTCTCCTTCTTTGCAACATTACTCTGTTTGGCCGGCGGTCTGGACGTGGCGGCGGTTCTGGGCGCTCGCACATCTGGCTCCAACGGGTCCCTGCTGCTCCCAACACTTTCAACCTCGACCTGATCCATGAAGACTTCACCTGAGTCCAACACCATCACCACGGTCGCTACGCCTCAGCCTCAAGTTCTCTGTGGCAGACAGATTCATGGGTACGGTTATTGTTGAATATGTGTTTGCTTTCTGAACAGAGACGTTATTCTGTTTCCTGCCCCGTAACGACAGATGTAAAATGATCTTATAGCTCACGTTGGTACAGCTCAGAAGCTTCTCTCCTTGTGCTGCTGCAACAAACACATTTCTCCTCTCGGGATCTTATTTCAAGCAGATAATTCTTTCATAGTTTTACTCAGTGGTGGAAGAAGTATTTAGATCCTTTAGTTAAGTAAAGTACTAATAAGACGCTCCACTGCAAGTAAAAACTGCACTCAAATCCTAAAGCAAAGTAAGTAGAAGTATTGATTGTGCAGTAAAATGTTTTACTATTATATCTGATGCTTCTGGATTAATATTACTGCTGCATTAATGTGTGTGTTGCATTTTAACTCGTTTATATCCTGCTGGCTACTTTAATGTACATCAATGCATCATATTCTATAAGATCATCATATGTTTTTAGTGTCGCTGGAGTAAAAAGTACATTATTTACCTCTGAGATGTAGTACAGTAAAAAGTACAATATTTACCTCTGAGATGTAGTACAGTAAAAAGTACAATATGTACCTCTGAGATGTAGAGGAGTAAAAAGTACAATATGTACCTCCGACACGTAGTACAGTAAAAAGTACAATATGTACCTCCGAGATGTAGTACAGTAAAAAGTACAATATGTACCTCTGACATGTAGTACAGTAAAAAGTACAATATTTGCCTCTGAGATGGAGTACAGTAAAAAGTACAATATTTGCCTCTGAGATGTAGTACAGTAAAAAGTACAATATTTACCTCTGAGATGTAGAGGAGTAAAAAGTACAATATGTACCTCTGAGATGTAGTACAGTAAAAAGTACAATATTTGCCTCTGAGATGGAGTACAGTAAAAAGTACAATATTTACCTCTGAGATGTAGAGGAGTAAAAAGTACAATATGTACCTCTGAGATGTAGTACAGTAAAAAGTACAATATTTGCCTCTGAGATGTAGTACAGTAAAAAGTACAATATTTACCTCTGAGATGTAGTACAGTAAAAAGTACAATATGTACCTCTGAGATGGAGTACAGTAAAAAGTACAATATTTATCTCTGAGATGTAGTACAGTAAAAAGTACAATATGTACCTCTGAGATGCAGTGAAGTATGTCGAATGAATGGAAATACTCAAGCAGAGTACAAATACCTCAATCTTTTTACGTCTGACGATTGCATGTTTGCACACAGATTTTCCAATAAATACATGCATGTCAAGTCACTAGGAAGTTACACAACGGGGATTGATGAAAGTATTGCAATGTTTACAAATTAGCAGTTTTACAAACGGGGTGCCTTTAGTAACATTCCCAGAAGAAGAACTTGCTGAACACTAAAGCACAATTCCTTTGTTTCCACTCAGACAGAACCAAGCAGCACTGACATCCTAAAGATGACCACTTTTAAGTACAACACTTGTGTAAATGTACTTAGTCAAGATCCACCACCGGTTCTGCTTTGTTGCTGGTTAAACATGGAGGTGATGTCAGTCACTGCTGCTAGATTATAATTAGATTACAGTTGAGAGAATGAAAGGCCAGCAACATGTCAGTGGACGTGTCAGTGTTCATGGAGGCGACACAGAATAACAGACAGCAAAACAAAGTATCACCAAGCTAACATTAACTTGTTGTACACTAAAGAAAGAAAGGAAGAAAACCTCCACAGTTTGAATTTGAATCGTCTGTGGAGACACAGTGATTTATTCTGCAGACAATCCCAGTGAGGAGCCCTTTAACTCACCAGAGTCCCGGGACTTCTCCTCGATTTCGGCCGTCTTCATTCGCTCATACCGGCTGCGGCTGCGGCTCCACACAGCGGTGTGTGTGTGTTGTTGTTTTTTAACGGTGAACGATGGTGGTGATGTGCGGGTAACGGTTCACTGTCCGGGGGCCTGAGGCGCCTGCCTGGGCCGGCCAGGAAGCGGCTGTTGTGTTGGAAGTTATGACGCGGCACGCCCGGCACATGACGCTTCCCTTGCGTCATTACGTACAACCCGGAAGAAAAAAAAAAAGGATGGGAGCCCGTGATGCCCTTTTATGCACATTGCCTATATCTATCGAGATATATATATATATATATATATATATATATATATATATATATATATATCCAGAAGTTTTATAAATACAAGCAAAACTAATTTATTCATTTAATAATAACAAATATACTGAATATTCAAATTCAAAACTAAGAGGTATTCACATCAGAATCAGAAATGGTTTATTTTTCAGGTATGTTTGCAGCACATACAAGAGAGTTTTACTCTGTGGTTGGTGCATGACAATAAACTCAGTGGAATGGTATAAAGATAAAAAAATAAAAATTTACAGTACAACATGAAAGATGGCAACGGCGGCGCATGTAGGCTACATGCCAGTAGCTCCCATGAATTTTGCTACCATTTTGTCTTTATTTGTTGTTGTTTTTTGTGTTCATCAAGGATTCAAGGGTCATTCATTGTCATTATGCAACACAAGGACGCATAACTAAATTCAGTTGTGGCCCATTTGTAACACAAGACAAACACATGACAAACGAAACAAAAACAGTAGTATATTCCTGTTGTGCATTTCTTTGAATTTGCATCATAAGGAATGTAAAAAGCAGCAACAAAAGGAATTCTCTGGACAGATAATATGGCCGACATCTTCACATTAAAAATTCAACACGAGGAAAACCACTTTGAGTGTGTTTGAGCACCAAGCATCATGACGTAAACACAGAGTCCACCTCCTCTCGTCCCACCAGAGTCTTGTTCTCTGTCCTGCTGCTGCGAGATGGAAGCTAAGCTAACCCAGCTGTCTGGTCTGAACAGAACAGTCTATTTTAAACCACTTAGCTTTTTTGGGGGTTGTGGGTTTGTATTTTGTTCAAGCCTTTGACCCCATATTTTCTAGTGGATGTCGGCCATTAACATCAGACAAAAATGAATGCACTTCTTTACAGAATAGATTTACATTGTCAAGTCTACTTTAAAACAGTGCTCACGTATAGCCATGCTGATTATTGGTGTCTGTGATTGTTCCTGTCGTACATACAGGCCTTTAACAAATCTGGAAGTGATTTCACTGCAAGTCTTCAGGGACAAAAGATGTTGTCGGAGCCATCAGTTATGTCTGTGTATGATGTGTGTTTGTACTGGGAGCCTACCTCAAGCTGACCACGGGTGGCAGTGTGGGTTAGTGTGGCAGGTAATTTGTATATGGGGCACAGGTGTGAATTACACACGTTAAGAGGATGTCACCTATGTTACTGTCTTTTTAGTGCAACTTTCCCACTTTTTGCTCAGCAAGATAACCCACCACACAATGGAACTAAAACTAAACTAAAAACAGTGGAACACCTGATTTGTTTTTATTCAGATTGCAGAAGAAAATATTTACCTCGGTCTCCCATTTGTGACGATGCTCCTCCTCCCATACACCATGTGTCCCCGTGTCGTTTGGTTGTCTGTTGCAGGTGCTGATTGGACGGTCATCGGCTGGATGAGCCTCACCTGTGCCGGTGTGGCTCTCCCCCTTAAAGGCCTTCTTCATTTGGCCGTCTCTCTCTCTGGGAGAGGAGATCCTTTCTGCCATCGGCATGAAACTGTTCTTTAGGGTTCATATTTCTGTTATTGCTGTTCACTGCCACGCACACACACACACACACACACACACACACACACACACACATACATGCACCTCAGGACTGACAACTGATACCTACCATTTGTATTGTTAAATTTATGTTTGTGTGAAAATAAAAATGCTTTTCTTAGCAGCCAGCTCCTTTGTCTCCCTGGTTTGTTGCAGTGTCTGAGCCGGGCTGACATATTACTTTAAAACCACTATGGACAAGAGGAACAAACAGCCACCAACAACTCATATGGACTTTAAAAAATGACTCAAGAAATACCACTTCTGTAACTGAAGCTATTGTTTTTTCGCTCTTCAAGATGGTTTCACACCTGTGCTGAACTAGTTCCTGCTATAGAGACTAGATACCAATCTAAACAGGTTATGGATGATCCAGTCACACAAACGCTCTGTTAGCTACGGTTGACAAACCTGCTGGACTTCATTTCTGTACTGTTGTTTTCACTCATGGATCAAGTCATTGATACTCAATGTTTGGTCTGTGAAAAGTTTTCAGATTTTGCTTATTTAAATTATCATGATATCCAATTTATATAATATAATTTACTTATAATGACGGGATGAGGGTGGTGGACAAAACCGTTACGGTATGTAGTTGCTTAAAGAGAAAGACGTACAACGGCAAAACATCGGGCATGTCCACACATATGAAGCGCCAGCAGCCGGTCTGTCAACAGGTGCAGGTGCTGACAGAAGCAGCAGAGTGGAAGCTAGACAGGCCCAATTGCAATATCCCAGTCACTACTGTAGGAAATATAGGTTTAGAAGTGTGCTTTAAGAAATTATAATAGAAGTGTTTAATGATTCATAATTAAGAAATCATAATTAGAAGTGTTTAAGAATTCATAATTAGTCATAATTATAGGAGTGTTTTAGAATTTATAGTTAGAAATGTTTCTTAGTAGAATTAGTAGCAGCTCTTACAGGTGGATAATGGTATGATAGCAAGTACTTGGAGTTTGCCATCTATGCTTGTAAAACGTGTGAAGTTTTTGCCAAAAGTTGCAAATCCTTATCTTTAATATAGTATGTTCAAGAGTAAGGCTTAGGGACAGACAGACTTCTAGACAGGCAATTTCAGGTCATACCCGTGTGAGGGTCTTCAGCAGTCTGATGCCAGGAGGAGACTGCTGGAGTTAGCCAATAGGAACTAAGATAGACAATATGGGAGGGGTTTTCAAACTGTGAACGGGAAGTGCTGGGAAAGAATTCAGCCTCTTTTCCTCTGGTCTCAACGTGAGGGCAGCTGTGCCTCCAGGCTGGGATGAGGGTAACATGCTCCTCTGCGCAGAGAATATATGTATCTATAGATACTGTAATTAATGTGCTTCACTTTGTAATTGTATTAGCTTCAGCAGGATTAAATGCTTTTGATTATAATTGAAACCGGCTGACTTTGTGTAAGAGGCTGGATCACATGCGGTTTCCCCACAGTCTAAGAGGTCCTTGAATCTAACACTACAGAAAGGTCTATCCTCTCCCCAGACAATGTAGATGTTCTCATGTTTTTGAAAACAAATGTAAAGTTGTAGACCATTTCACAGTAATGGTAAACATTATTGCAGTGTATTTGAATGACATAACCTGACAGGAAGTAAATATAGACCCAAGTTGTTGCCGAGCAGTTCAGTTCAGTTGAAACAGTGGAAGCTAGCTCACTGGCTGTTTCTTTCTTTCAATATTGATCAAAGGACGAGGGCATCAACATACCTCATGTTGCTCTTAAACTTAACAGAATTGAATATTCTTGAATGTTATATTTTTATTTGTTATTTATTTAATTTTGTTTCAAATTGGACATCTTCGATATTTTTGTTTTTATGTAAGACTATAGCCCAAAGTTCTTTGCTTTAAGTGTTCTTGAAGTTCTTTAATTGATAAATGGAAAGCAAAGTTATATTTGACTCCTCCCCTTTTCTTTGCTGATCTGAAAAATGATCCGAACCGTGACTCAAGAACCGTGATCCGAACCGAACCGTGAGGTTTGTGATCCGTTGCACCCCTATTATATCATACCACTCTGGTATGAATGAACCACTCTGATTCAACGGCATATACCACTAATATGAACTTTTAAACTTTCACCTGCCTTCAGGAAACCGTTTGCTGTTGGAAAGGTACCGGCATACCACTTCAGGGATAGGTACCTACCCCTGAACAAGTAGCATACCACTCCAGGGATAGGTACATACTGCAGAACAACATACCACTCCCGTGTGTAGGAAGTCACTGCACACGGCCACCGTTCACAAAGAAAATGTTAAAGTTTGTAAAACCTTGTTTCTACGGATTAGGGGCAGTTTCACATGTCGCCTTTTTTTTGGCGCCCTGAAATCCCTTATTGTCAACGTAGATCCTTTGAAGGCGAGCTCAAGAGAAAAAGCAACGCCGAACGCCAACGCTCCCAAGCACCTATTTTTCAGGGCGCGACGGCTGGAATAACAGCCGGATGATATCAGTGAAGAGTAAATATGTATAGAGAAGTTCATAATTTTAGTGCAGGACTATTCAGACTTTTATGATCTGTGCCTTGGACTTGGTCTGTGAATTTGTTTAAAAATCTCAAGACATACCTGTTTAGACTGGCGTTTGGGTAAAATTCATGCTCCAGGTCTGCTTTTAATCTATGTTTTTATTGTGTATTTTACTGTTTATTGTAAATTATTGGCCCTTGTATGGTCACGTTGTGTTATTTATGTTTTCTTCTTTGAAATACCGCTCCTGTTAAGCACTTTGTCTGTGAAAAGAGCTATATAAATAAATTGTGCTTGACAGCAGAGCAAACCCTCTCAAGTACCTTGGATAAAAAGGATGAAAGCGGCACGGCTGGCGTTTTTAAACGCAACATGTGACACCCCTCAAATAAACAAACAACACAAAGAAGTAGGAACACATAAAGGAAACACTTCATCCAGTTCATCACAAACATTCAACATCAACACATCTGGAGATACATGGTTTTACCTGGACAGGAAGGGGATGAAAAACTGTAGAAATGTATGTAATGTAGTAACAAGTACAATATTTACCTCTGAGTGTAGTACAGTAAAAAGTACAATATTTCCCTCTGAGAAGTAGTACAGTAAAAAGTACAATATTTACTTCTGAGATGTAGTACAGTAAAAAGTACAATATTTCCCTCTGAGATGTAGTGGAGGTGAAGTGACACAAAATGGAGACACAAGTAAAATACAAGTATTTTAATTTGTACTTAAATGCAGTACTTGAGGAGAAGTACTTACATTCCAAAACTGGTTTGACTTATTTAATACCTCCTCATCACTAAACACACACAGGAACAATTCTACAACTCTGCCAAATACTAACAAAAAAAAGCTTCACAAACAACCTGCTGCTGAATCAGTACAACCACACACCCCAGCCTCCTCTTTCAACACCCACACACACACACACAACCAGGTGTTAGCTCAGGGGAGCCGTTTCTTAAAGCCTTTAAAGCATTCCCGGCTTTACGTCAGCTTTGAGGGAAAAACAACACAGGAAAAAATGAGGGGTGGAGCAAACAAAGGTGTGGTTACAGGTAAAACGAACCGTGGTGCCACAGTGCCATGGTTACTTCAACAGCCCTGGAGCTGGCTGACAGCAGCAAGAAGCAGAGATGTTACAGAGATGGCCTGATCTGGGATCAACTGCTTGGAGCTATGATTTTTGATGTGCTTTTGCAGTTTGTCGCGTCGTGGATTTTTCATTGTCACATTTTGTCCTGCTCCCCATTTCTAAAATAAGTAAATAAAAAAAGGGACGACAATCAACATCTGGGGAGTCAACATGCTGGAGAGTGGCTTTGCTACGGGAGGGCAAAGGTACGTAAGCCTTAATATTATTATCAGCTGTATACATTAACCTTTTTTCTGTCTGACGGGGAAGCAGAGAAGAGGAAGAAAGGCGCTGTGGTTGGTTATAAATCCCTTTAATTCCCTTTAAATCCCTTATGTAATTTATGAACAAGACCTTTAATCAGTTTGAGAACTGGAACATTTCATCTGTAAAACAGTTCATAGGAACCTGCGTCGCAGTAAAATAATGTATAATTACTACTGTTAATTTACTCCCAGTACCCAGACAGTTTACTTAAGTCAAAGTAGCAATACTGCAGAGGTGGAAGTAATTATTCAGACCTTTTGCTTAAGAAAAATTACTAATATATCATATATACACACTATCTTTTCATTCGGCACTCGTTTTAGTATCACTTCTTATACACTTTAAACTTTTACTCTTGTATTTAATCTTTGGTGTATTTTACTTTTTCTATTATAGTTGATTTTTTACTTTATTCACTTACCTCACTCGTGTTGCTATTGTGTTGTATTTTGCAATGGAGTCAGTATTATTTCTTTTACGCTTTTCTTTCTTTGTTTTGTTGTAATGTAATGTCTTATGCATATTTAATTTTATCTTTGTAATTTCCTGCACTGTGATATTCATTTATCTCTGTTATGTTTGATTATTTAAAATTTTATTGTTTGAATTGTGCAAAATAAATAAATAAATCTAATACTTGTTATTGTTTATATTTTTATTGTAATGTATTTTATGTTATTCTTCTGTTGTAACTTTAATGAAACTCTGGCACAAGTATTTCCTTCAGCATTAATAAAGTTCTTTCTTATCTTAATACTGCAGTGGTGGAAGGAGTACTCTGTTCTTTAACTTAGTAAAAGTAGGAATACTGTATTGGTTGAACGAAGTATTCTGAATTTTTACTTAGTAAAATTAGTAATACTGCAGTGTCAGAAGACATACTTGTATCTTTTACTTGAGTTAAAGTTGTCACGGGATTTCACGGTTAGGACCCAATAGCAAGACCACAGGAGACAGAAGTTGGTATAAACAGGTTTTATTTAGCCTGAATAAGATGACAGGAAGGTGTGGAGCCCGTGGTCCGACACCGGAGAGTAGGCAGATCGACGGTGCGAGTCCCGTGGCTCGACACCGGAGGGCTGGCAGCTTGACGGCGTGATGTCCCGTAGCTCGACACCGGAGGGCTGGCAGCTTGAAGGCGTGTGTAGTCCGTTAACACAAAGGAGGGCACGGGGGCTTCCCGGACCGACGGACACCAGAGGCAGGCGCTCGAGGCCGAAGATGCAACGGGGTTGAAGCGGGTGAAAGACGGTACGACCTGACAACCCCAGACTGCAGGACCAGAGTTTATATAGTGCCAGGGGAAGCGTTAGTGGGACCTGAGTCTGGTGCGTCAGCCTGCAGGAGGTAATCGGCTGGAGTGGCTGCAGCTGTGTGGCCATGGGAGGTGTCTGGTCTGACAGGGATCCTGATAAAAGTAGCAATACTGCAGTAGTGGAAGAAGTACTCAGATCTTTTATCAAAGTAAAACTAGCAATACTGCAGTGTTAGAAGAAGTACTCAGATCTTTTATCGAAGTAAAAGTAGCAATACAACATCTGAAGAGGAAGCGTGGGGATAATGTGCAGCGGACTTTGAGACCATCACCGCCCGAGGTGACCAAACACCACCAAACTGCCCCAGAGAGGAGAGGGAGGAGAGGAGAGAGAGGAGAGGAGAGGAGAGGGAGGAGAGCTGAGATGGAAGCTAAGCTAACCCAGCTAGGACCTGAGGCTACTCCACTACCCAGCATGCTCCTGGCTGTCTAATGTCCAGTCGCAGAAAAATAAGATGGATGAAAGCAGCGGGAGGTAGCTGACTGTTGAGCCCACATCTGGATGGACAATGTTTTCCTCCTGTTGAATTTTTGACGTGAAGATGTCGGCCATATTATCTGCCCTGAGGAACACTTTTGTTTCTGCTGTTTACATTCATTATGATGCAAATTCAAAGAAATGCACAACAGGAATGTACCACTGTTTTTGTTTTGTTTGTCATGCGTTTGTGTGTTATAAATGGGCTACAACTGTATTTCATTTAGCATCCCTATGTTGCATAATGACAATAAATGATCCTTGAATCCTTAAATGTGGTGGCACAAAAAGTACAATCAAATATATATACTTGAGTAAATGTACTACTTTCCCCCGCTGCCTGTCTCACTGTCTCCTCTCTGCTCTCAGCCAGGGAACGGGGAAAGCTGGGAAACTGCTGAAAAGCAAGAGACGGTGTATTTCCTTACGCTGGAAGTACATCTTCCTCATCCTGGTGTTGACAGTGGTTTTCTTTGTCTACAACACAAGCATCGAGGAAGTTGTGCCCGACTGGGACTCAACAAAGTGGTGGTTTGCATCTAATAGCCAGAGACAAAATGTCGTCTCTCCCAAATCGAGTGGTTCCAGCACCGGCACACCTGGATCTGAACCAACTGGGTTTGTAACAGAGATCATCCCTGTTGCACTTCGTCAAACTGACGCTTCTGTGTCGACTCAGCAGACGACTCCAAGCAGAGCTGAGCCACCAACGGCGATGCCTTATAAATCTCCGGGCCCCTACCTGGTGGAATACCCCTCTGAGTACCACTTCATTATAAATGAGCCAAAGACGTGTGAGCAGCAGAAGTCTTTCCTGGTTCTGGTGGTTCCCGTGGCGCCCAACAACAGGGCCCATCGCGACGTCATCCGTAGCACCTGGGGCGGTGAGGGCACGGCGCTGGGCAAAGTGGTGACGCTGTTCTTCCTGCTGGGGCTACACAGCGGAGAGGGGGCGCCGCAGATCCAGGAGCAGCTGCTGCAGGAGAGCCGGGAGCACCACGACCTGATCCAAAGCGACTTCCTGGACTGCTACAAGAACCTCACCATCAAGACCATGGTGATGCTGGAGTGGCTGGACTTGCACTGCTCTGGCGCCTCGTACGCCATGAAGATCGATTCGGACATGTTTCTGAACGTGCCCAAGCTCATCGACATGTTGGTGAACGCTCCGAAGACAAACTACATGACGGGACTTGTGGCGAGCGGAGCCATGGTCCTGAGGGACCGGACAAATAAGTGGTTCCTCCCTGTGGAGATTTACCCTTCGCCAAATTACCCTCGTTATGCTTTGGGCCTGGGCTACGTTTTATCTCTTGACCTCCCTAAAAAGCTTGTAGAGGCATCCAGACATGTTAAAGCTGTTTACATTGAAGACGTGTATTTGGGGTTGTGTATGAGTCACATGGGCATCCCTCCCACCGACCCCCCAAACGGAAATTATTTTCATGTGTCTCCAAGGACATATAGTCGCTGTGCTTACTCTCAGCTAATAGCCACGACTACACATCCACACGATGATCGTGTGAGCATTTGGAAAGACTTCAAAAGACCGGGTCAGTACTGCTGATCTGCAAAAATAACGACGGCTAAAGAAGGACTTAATATATTTATTATTGATTCATAGTTATATAAACTACGATAAAAAAGTTGAAATCAGCTAGGCCACCACAGAATGAGTGCTAACGTTAGCTTAACACAAACCATGAATTGCACTCTACCAATTACAGAGCTGCAAGGATGGCGTACTTTTGTGGGCCAACCCCCAGAAGTTAGCATCGCACAGGAGTTTTCTACTAGAGTGTTGGATCATTGCAGAACATAAAATCTCTGTGACAAACAAACGTTTATGATACTGACACGTTTTGTTCATCAAGATAATCTCCAGACATGAACACCACTTATATGATTTTAGAAGCGTGAAGACAATCATCAGAAGTAAAAGGCTAACGTTAGGCTATAAAGCAACTCCACCGCGGTCACATGACTTCACGTCTCCACCACTAAGCTAAAGGAGGACTAGTGCTCTAGTGAGGACGTCTAGTCCTCTCATTTACACTCTTTTTAAGACACGTAGACGCTTCTAAATTCACCAGCGGGGCGTTTACTGACCTATTTTATATCAGAGAACTAAACGTTAAATTTCTTCCACTTTTGTTAAAGACAGACTTTATTTCAGCCATTTAACCAAAGTCACATTAAAAAAACACAAAACGAAAACACCCTGAGAGACGAGTAAACCAGAGGTGCAAAGATGACTCACTTCTGGGTTTTAGGTCTCCTACCTGCAGCACTCTAAAGCCAAGTTAATAGTACAGTTTAAATTAATGAAAACAACTTACCCAAAGTCTCAAGCACTGCACCAATTCAACTCAGGCCTGCTGTTTTCCGTTTAGATCATGGTAACTATACTGAAGTCAAATAGCTTCAGGTAGCCATGCTTTTAGCCTGTAGAAAGTCCTCTTTACAAATAGATGTTATGTAGTTTTGTACATGGAGAACAAACAATCTACAACGGTTCAACCAGACTGACAACTGAAGGAGACACAGATCCATCTGAGCTTTTTACACCCTGAAAACATGAAGAAACATAATGAGTAGTCCTCTCACACCTGTGACTGCATACAATCAAGCTGTAGGGAGATTACTGACTTTATGACTAAATACAAAATATCAGATTACAAAGGGACTGTTGCTCAGTATATCGAAACCAAATCCAGCCAACAATTGCAATGTATTATTCATTAATCACCAAGGCAAGGCAAGGCAAGGCAAGGCAAGGCAAGGCAAGGCAAGGCAAGGCAAAGTTATTTGAATAGCACATTTCAACAACAAGGTAATTCAAAGTGCTTCACATAAAACCATTCAAAGCATCAAAACATAAGGCAAAAGAAAAGGAGATTTAAAAACAAGAAATTGATTAATATCCTTGAATCTGGTTCAAGGCAGCAGCAAACAGAAAAGTCTTCAGTCTTGATTTAAAGGAGCTGAGGGTCTCAGCAGACCTGCAGCTCTCACCAAACAACAGAGTGCAGCTAACAAAGACAGTATTTGGAACAAATACGTGCTTTCCTCAAAGGCAAATCTTATGATTTAAGAGTGAACATGTGGCACTTCTAGTAAGCTACTTTCTCCACCCTGAGGTCTGATCATTTTCTGGAGTTGGGAACATTTTGGTAGCAACTACAAATTCTTTGGAGCTTTTTTCCCCCTCTCTCAAGAGTGTGTTGTTTCAATCAAGGTATCATTTCATCGGTCAACACCTGGCATTGTATTGCATTGGTTGGGTATAATCCAAGAGCAAAGGAGAAATCTGAGGGCAGGCGTTTTTACGAGCACGAATGAGCAGCTTATGTGTGAAGAGAAGGGCTGAAGCTGAAGCTCAGGAAATCTGTACAAGCAAAGATACATCTGAGTGCAAGCATGCAGTTATGAGCAGAAGCAGAGCAAATCCAAGCGCATAGCAGGGGCTGTTGCAGTAGGATGACGGGGTTTTGTGGGAGAACATTACACCCTCTTGAATGAAGACAGGGGAATAAGATCCATACAAATCGGTCACGCCAGACCACAAAAGGGTTGAGAAGCTTGGGTTACTGCGCCGCCGCCTCCGCCCTCACCTGCAGGGTGAACGCATGAAGGACGAGGAAGTCTCAAAGAAAAAGGCTTTAGGGGATGTTTATACAACAAGAGATAAAGAGGAATGATCACAGCGAGTTAATAAGTGACCAAGGTGAATGAAGCTGTGTGCTATGAGGAAAACCTCAACTATGTTATGTGTGGGCTGCCACCACTGATGGAGATATATTTACACCTTATACAAATACTTTAACCACAACAAGAGACATTGTGGGATTCATTTATCAGGTTTTTTTTGTTTGTTTAAATCCCCAAACCTGGTGTTTTTTCCAGCCAGAAAACATGCTCCTGTTTATTTTCTACATGAGACGTGTTGAGACACGTCACAACATTCAGAGTAGACGGGCATCACCGCTCCGCACGGGAGGAACTATTTAGTCCCGATGTTATCTGATTGGTTAGTGGGCCTAAGCTGCTGCAGACGGGAGAGAAGGACGTCTTCTTTCAGACTAGTGGAGAGAAAACATCCAAAATACACATTTATGTGTTTATTTCACTACTTTGTCTGTTTACGTCTGTAGATTTCTCCTAAATTCACCAAAAGTTACCGTTAGATAAATTTGCATATTTAAACATATAATTTAAAGAAACTTGTAATACTAATAATAATCCTCTTAATGTGAGTGATGAAGTGGTGAAGTTTCATGGTGATATCTATGAGTTCATGTATTCACCTGTAGAGTCTTCTTAATGTGAGTGATGAAGTGGTGAAG